CATGCAGAACACGCTCCATCCTGAACGCTACCACAGCAGAATCACAGGATCATAGAATGGCCGGGGTAAACAAAGACCTTAAGGGCCATCTAGTTCTCTGACATGGGCGGGGACACCTTTTACTTGCTCAGGTTGCTCAGAGCCCCATCCAGCCTGGTCTTGAACACCAGGTTGGGGTGTCCATAACTTCTCCAGGCTCTCTGTGCCAGTGCTTCACCACCCTCACAGGGAAGAATTTCTTCCGAGTATCTAATTTCAACCTGCCCTCTTTCATTTTGAAGCCATTGCCCATTGTCTTGTCTCCAGAGTTGCTAATGAAGAGTCCCTCTCCTGCTTCCCTTCAGATATTGGAAGGTGTTGTGAGGTCTCCATGCAACCTTCTCTTCACCAGGCTAAACAGCCCTAATTCTCTCAGCCTGTGGGATGTGCTCTTGGCCTGAATACTGAACTGCAGTATTGAATGCTGATTTTTTTAAAAGGCATGTTCTTTTTCAGCCTTTAATCCTTTAAAAGCATGTTCTTTTTCAGCCTTAAATTAGACTAAATAGCTTTGATTTGTGGGTATTGCAAGTGAGCAACAGAAATCACTGCCCTGGCTTGCCTTTTTTACAGCTCCTTTCTGTGGGAGACTCGCTGCAAACCTCACAGCTGGTGAGACAGTGGGCACACCATCATTCTGAAGGAGCTTTGCACAGTAAACATAGAGAAGGATTAAATATTGAAATGCAGATGACAGGAGCTGCCCAATGGACTCTGCTGGTGGAAATCAAATACTAGTCTAGTACTTTGAATGCAAATAACTCCTCCCAATGAGGCCAGACAGGATTGTTTGCCTTTGAATCTGAGCACATGGACTGTAGTTGATGTCTACAGGTTGAAAACAGTGTAGATACATCTCCTTTTTTTCAATAGTGGCTCAGAAACTGAAAAGGCAGCTACAAAAATGATGAATACATCCCTAAAGATTCAAAAATGGTTGTTCTTAATTTCGATCTCCACCATAACAACAGATCGTAAGAACTAAAATAAAGATGGGAATTTTACAGCTTCTCAGAAATGAAGCAGGAATTGGCCAATGGGCCTTAGCAGCAGCTACAAGTTTTTCAGCATGAAGCATCTCAAAAGTATTTTAACCGTACAGAACTTTTCTGTACTTTTGGCCTTTTATATCAAGGATGCATCAAAAAAAAAAAAAAAAGAAAAAGAAAAGAAAACAAGAAAAAAAAAAAAGAAAAAACCCTACCAAATATATATATTACATGACTAAGATAATAAGCTCAATCAGTAACCTATATAGAAATAGAACCCATGGCTTTTAACCTTCAACCTTGTCTTCTTAACACACTCTCGAAAATGGAATTGTTTCCCTATCTGCCTTGAAACATTTTGGAGCAAAAAACACTCTAAGGTCCTGATAGGTGTTTTGGTCAAAAATCCCTTCTTCTGGTTTTCTGTCCAGAAGCGCAGTAACGCGTCTGCGCTGGTAGCTGGTGAAAGGAGATAGGAAGAGTAATCCTCATACAACAACACTGGGGCTAAAGAAATTTCCACAGAAAATTACCTGCCTTATTACTTGTTCATGTGTTGGGTTGAAAATTCAAAATCTGTTTCCATATTTCCCATCCCTCGAATGTTCTATTTCACAGAATTCGAGCCCCTCAAACATCAGTCCTGCCAGAACAGCCCGCCACCTGCTGTCATAGGGGATCTGCTGATGCCCACGGACTCTTACCAGCCTAGTGCTTGTCACTGTCGCAGATCAAGAACTTCTGAATAGATTTGATTAATGCTCTTAGAGTGGTTGAAAACAAGAAAAGAATGACTAACCTCCGTTTGACGCCATTTGCTTCGGCCAACAGGGTGGCGCCACATTAGAAATTGGCAACCTTTACTGAATTTCTCCAAAACTAAAGCTGACAGCAAATTAGAACCCTGCAAATACTTAGACCCCCAAACGTCACATTTCAAATAATTGCCAGATCCTGGCAAAAGGATTTCTTTTTCCCTCAGAAAATGGCCTCCGTTTGCAGCATCTTGCCCTGACGGACCGGGCGGAGACCAGGCAGGAAATTGGCAAATTTTACTGAATTTCTCCAAAACTAAAGCTGCCAGCATCTAGGACCCTGCAAGTCCTTAGAGCCCCAGATGCCACCTTTCATTGATACCCAGACCCTGGGCCAACGACTTCATTTTCCCCATGGAAAATGGCCTCCATTTGTGGCCTCTCGCCCTGACCAATAGGGTGGTGCCCAGCAAGAAATTTGCAATGTTTCCAAATCTAAAGCTGCCAGTAAGTAGTACCCTGCAAGTCTTTAGAGCCCCAAAGGCCACCTTTCATTTGATTCGCAGACCCTGGGGAAAGGACTTCTTTTTCCCATGGGAAATGGCGTCTGTTTGCAGCCACTCACCCTGGCAGAAAGTGGGGAGCCAAGCTAGAATTATGCAATCTTTGCTGGATTCTTCCAAAACTAAAGCTGCCAGCAACTAGGACCCTGCAAGTACTTAGAGCCTCAAAGGCCACCTTGAACATATTACTCAGACCCTGGGTAAAGGACATTTTTCCCATGGAAAATGGCCTTCATTTGTGGCCAGTTGGCCTGGCAGGCAGGGCAGTGCCAATCGAGAAATTTGCAAACTGTGCTGGATTCTTCCAAACTAAAGCTGCCAGCAACTAGGACCCTGCAAGTCCTTAGAGCCCCAGACGCCACCTTTCATCTGATACCCAGATCTTTGCTGGATTTCTCCAAATCTAAAGCTGCCAGTAAGAAGTACCCTGCAAGTCCTCCGCAGCCTCCCCCCATTCCTGCCTGGCAGCTCCTGTGGCCCAGCCTGGCCAGAACGGGGCCGATGGGGGGCAGCGGACGGCCTGGGGAGGGGGAAGGGGCACAGCAGGACTGCCCAGCCCGGCCTGGCCAAGACGTGGGCCGGGGCTGGGGCCTGTTACCTCTTTGCCGACCAGAAAAGAGAGTTCCTGGCTTTTTTTTGTCTTTAACATGCGTCTTTCACAGAGGCATGTCCAGCTTTTCAGTGGTTCAACAGACTGTCAGTTACACAAAAAGCTTTGCATCACTTCCCTGAATTTCCTCCCACTCAAAACCTGACAAGCACCCACAGACACTTGGGGTGGGGGCTAGAGGAAGGGCAGAATAAGCCCCTGGATGAACTGGTTAGAAAGACACAGCAAGTGTATCTAAGAAGGGATGAGGAAAAGATGAAGAGAAAGGGGATGGCAGCGTTCTTACTGCTGCGGAGGGATATACTACAGGGCCCAAGGGGGCCCCCAGGACAGAAAGGATGAGTTTTGCCACAAGGACAGGGCAGAGTGATTCCCTCCTCAGCAGGGGACAGTCCACCCAAAGAGCATCTTGGAAGGAATCAGTGTACTATCTGCAGGGACACTGGAAGTGAGAATGTCTGCAGAAACAACTGGATCCTCAGGAAGATCAAGTCCAACGATGAATGGAGATGGATTGTTAGGGGTGTCAGAGACACAGCACAGTACAGCCCTTGATAACATTTAGGGTGTATCTGGACAGGTAGGAGGTATTTCCTGATAGACACAGGGGCCTCTCAATCTGCTTTGAATTTTATCCCTGTGAAAAGCACCAATCACTTGTTTCAAAAATTTTAAAAGTTTAATAGTAATAAAATGGCTATAAAAATAGCAATATAATTAGAGTAATAAAAATTTTGGGCAATTTGGATCAGGACAATATGAGACAACAGAAACTAAGAGTTATGGACATCCAGGTACCTTTTTCTGGGCAACATAAGCCCAAAAAACGACATGCATTAACAGAGGATTATCCCTTAAAAACAATAAGCTGTTGCATATTCATACATCTCATACATGATGCATAAATTCCATTCAAACACAGGATTCCTTCTGGTCATCATCAACTTCTTCCTCTTAATCCTAACGGCATCTTCAAGTCTGAGCGAGGCAGGAAGAAGTTTGTTTCTTCTGATAAGAGAGCAATAAATTCTCTTGCTCTGAAAATATTTAGGTGTCCTGTGGCTGCTATCTGGTGTGATTACCTCATTCCTTTCTTAAAAAAATATTTCACATACATAGTTTCTATTTTAACATTATGTTATAACCTAAACTATATTTAACACACTACTTAGAAAAATTAATACAGCATAACTTTCTGACATAACACATATAACATTCATTTTAATATTTATGAAAAGCCAATCATAAAATACACATTTTTCACAATCTGTAAAGGGAAAAATTGTCAAGAAGTTCTTTAATTATTCAGGGGATAAATGGAACAGAGGTGGGAATGTGTTTCATTCTACACCGATTAGTACATGTCGGGGTTAGGCTCTAAATGCAAGAATTTCTGTTTGTTCCTGCCTGTAATTATAAGTTACTGGGAAGGGATTTGCTGGCTACATTGGGAATACAAAATAACATTTTAAAAAGTGATACAGAAACTAGCCCTATTGTAAGTTTGTATCAAATGTCTGAAAAGGTCTATGCTGCAGTAAACCTACAAGTGCGGGCAGTCCCAGGGAAATCTGGAAAATGAACTATGGAGCCTCTCTAAACTACTTTGAAGCAACCAGGATAAGTGGTGTCTAAAAAACAATATCCTTCTTTCAAGGCAGGGAGAGAAGGGATTGAGTCCTGCCTGTTACTGAGTCCCTCTTAAAAGCAGGTCTTTTAGAGCCATGTATGCCTGCCTATAATATTCCTGTCCTGCCAGTTAAGAAACTGTATGAATGGACACCAGAAGGAAAGCAGAATTTTAAAGTGTTAGAAAAAAACAAAAGGCAGACTAACTGAAGCTCCTGCTCTAGCCCTTCCCGACAGGGAAAAAGAATTTTAATTACATGTGGCTGTTAAACAGGACCATACTAAAAGGATTCAGTATGAAACACAGGGGAACACTGCAGCCTCTTGCTTACTTTTTTAAGATGTTTGACCCAGTGGCCTGGAGGACGGCCTCATTGTCTGCAGAATTGTGCAACCATGACTGAAACCCAAAAACTGATGATAGGAGAATGTTTTATTATGAAAGTCTCGCATCATATGTAAGTTTTGTGAAGCAAAATTCCTCACTTGGTCTTTTCCAGGGGTTCTGGCCCTTTTCGGCCTGAGCCAACAGGACTTTTGTCAGCCTCCTCCACAGTCAGCAGCTGGAACTCTGCTTCCACCTTACCCTGGAGGGATAATATGTCTGAGCCACAGTCGAATGCATTGCTTCACAGGCCAGTCCGCTGACCACAGGTCCTGCCACAACTGGGTACTTTTCTCTCACTTCCACTTACAGATGGCTCAGAGCTTTCTTCTCCGTTGGCTACAGAGTGTTACTTCATAGCCAGTGGAAACTGGCCTGGTAAAAAACTAAATGTTTTGGAGACAAGGAATTGTATTTTAATGAACTCCCCAACTACCTGATTTGTCTGCCTACCCCAGAGTGGCACTGAGCAAAATTCACCCTTGGGCACACACAGTGGTCCAGTAGCAGGGGTATCAGGAGCGAGTCTGTCCCTGGTCAGTTGGTACTTGTCTGTCTTGGGCTGGCAGAGACCCCAGGACAGGCTTCTGCTGCTGTCCTGACTGGCTGATGGGGAGCCATACTCTTCTTGCTTTGGAGTACAAATGAGCAAGGAGAACATGATCTGGGGTGTTTCAGTGGGAACACTAAATTCCTAAACAAAGACAGCTCCCCTAATGGAACTTCTATGAGAAGCTCAGAGGAATACCTTAAGTCAGACATCCCTGCAAACCACGGCAGCTGGTTCTTCAGGGTAGACAAGTGCTGGATAAGCAGTAGATGGAAGAAGTCTTCAGGATCCTGTAGTGTTGTGTTGTGCTTTTGAAGTTATAATTATGATAAGTTATACCTTGTATTTTGGATTGTTCCATTTTCCCCCTCTTTAAGTATGTAATGATTCTGCCCAATTGTCTCCTCCTCCCCAGTGTGTGTCAGTTACCCTGTCTGCTCCCCAGTTACCCTGCCAACCTATGTGTCCTCTCCTCATGTCCCTCCCTGGTACTCTCCATCACTCGGCAACCCATCCTCTCCATCTGGAAACTTCTCTTCAGGGCATCAAGTGATTGGCTCAGGGGCCCTCCCCAAGATATCCCCTATTGGTCCTCCAAAGGTGTCCTCCCTTTCTCCACTCCCCCCTGTACCTCCATTGGTTGGTGGCAGGCTCCACCCCTGTTCCCACCTTCCTTTAAAAACCCTTGTCAGCCCTTCCCCAGTTTGGCAGTCTGGTCTCCCCTGGGTTTGTTGTCTTACAATAAACCTGGTTTGCAGCCATGACCAGAGTCCAGCTTTCTTCTTCTGCCTCTTGTGGCCCAAAGTCTCTGCAACTACATAGGCTTCGAGCCTTTAGTACCCTCTCTGCGAACGCTAAGCTGAGAGGGTGCCCCCCTGCTGGAGCTCGCATGCCAGAACTTGTGGGGGCTGTCCTGAAAGGATAAGCAGAAGCTTGCGGCCACACTGTAAAAGCTGGGTCACTGCTGCCCTTGTAGGTTGTGCATGTAGGACAGACTGCCATATCAAGGTGGAGCAAAACACTGGCTCTGCTCACAGTGCCAGCTCCCCATCTTACCATCAGGAGGTACTTGCTCCCACCTGGGGTCTGTGAATTCCATGTCCTCTGGTTTGACTGAGATGCTCCATTTCTTTTTCTTCTTGAACTCCCTTTCCTCTCTCTTGTCATCTTCTTGATCTCTGAGTTTGATGAAGGGCCACCAGCCCCTTATGCACTTATTTTGGAAGATGGAGAATTGAGGTGTTGCATTCTTCATTTTGATGGTGCAATGTTCAGAGCTCTTGGCTGCCCACACCATGTCAGGCAGCTTCAGCTTGATGGAGCCTGCAGGCACAAGGAAGAAGAGACCACATGGTAAAACTCTGAGGTCAGCCCCACACAACATTTGGCTGTCTCTGCCACACTACCAAGTGCCACGAGTAGGTCCCAGCTGCTGCAATTATCTAACAGAACCCTGCACATTTACAGATGGAGAACCTGAAACTCTGCATAAGAAAGAACTAGCTCAGGAGTTAAGAGACTAAGAGGCAGAAGCCCCAGGTCTCTTCTTGTTTTTGATAAGGGCTGTTTGGTGAATTCATATGGTGAGTTATTTTTACCCTTCTATCATGTCCCACCCTGCTCTCCTCACATGTCCAAGCTCATCTTCCTCTCTAATTCCTGGAGATGTCAATTAAAATTATAAAATGATAATGCTTTAAAATTATAAACGCTTTAAAGGTTTCAGGTTTGTCTAAGGTCTGCAACAGCCTCAGTTCATCTCCCTGTTTGGCCTTGTGCCTCTGTTCTGCTCAGAATGAGTTCCTGTCCCACTTTGGCACCGAGCCCTTGCGAAAAAACAATCTTACCACATCCTGATCTGTACTGGTAAAAACAGACAAGGGACGTGAGTGTTCTCTGCTCATTTCCAAGTGAGACTGCATCTGGATACTGTGCCCAGTTTTGGATCCCTAATACAAGAAAGATGTCAACTAAATAGTTTTTAGTGGCTGAGATAGTCAAGTCTGTAGTAGGTGCCACATCAAGAGGGGTGAGAGACACATATGTTCAGCTCAGAGCAGAGAAGTCAACATTCCTCACAGCCTAGAGGAAGCTACAGAGCAGACGGAGCTAGATTCTTCTCAGAAATAGATAATGAAAGCACCTAAGGAAACAGACACAAAATGCTGCAAGTAAAAAATCTGAGAATTGTGAGAAAGGTACAGCCAGGAAAAGGATCAAAGAAGGGTGCTAGGAATCCATCCTTGGAGATGATCAAAACCCACCGAAGAAACGTCCTGAGCAACTTAACCTACAGTGCATCCAGCCCTGCTTGGGGCAGGAGATTGCAATAGACCCTGCAGAAGCCCATTACTATCTAGAAGTTCCTGAGATTATACTTGCCAGAAATAATTGACATTGTTAATGCTTTTTTCAGTGCCTCAGTTCATGACTAAACCACTGGAAGTGCCTCATGCAGTAAAAGTGCTGAAATACACTACGAAATGTTGAAGTATAAGGAGTTTAGACATGCCCAGGAGATAGTAGGGAAAAATGGCTGCTTTCTAATAGGCAGGTTAACATTTGAAGAAGGGAGGAACAACTGAACACAGTGTTATAAGCTTGGGGATGGCAGCAGAAGTCAGAGAGAATCAGCAGTACTTGTGCTAGCATAAGCATAATGTGTGGGGTATCGTCACTAGCTCTGTTTTGTCACCAGGCCTTGCTGCATGCACAGCTCAGCAGGTCTGATCACCAGGAAGTACCAGAGCATCCATGGAGTTTTGAGCCCCCAGCAATGGGGATGCTGCAACTCAAGTGCCAATAGTCTCACAAAGGTTGTCAATAGTCTCACACAGGTTATCCCTGTACCTACAACATAAGGTCCTGGGAAAAATGCTCTTAGGCTCAGCCTTTGAGATCTGCATATCTAAGTAAGAGCATGGAAAACAAGCAAGTTTATTGGAAAGGTTGTGAGGAAGCAGAACCTGGAAGTCCTGTGACATGACAGGTCCTGAAAAAATACACCAAAGCCCTGGGACAAGCATGCAGGCACTACATGTCTGTGTAGGAGAGGTGCCTATCTCCAGGCTTTGTCTGTAGCTCAGGTGTGAAAAACCAGCCTAGATGACTGCTGAGCTGAAGAGTTTCATCTGATGGTCCTAGTGTCCCTTCTCAGAGAGCTGAACCCCAGGGAAATGCTTCAGCCAGGTAAGGGACAGGTCACCCCACTTCCAGCAGGTAACACCATACCTAGAAAGTCATTAGCTGAAATCCTGTCATAATCCCAGATCTGGAGAACCAGAACAACTGGTTCCTGAAACTCTGACTCATCCATGGAGAAGACAGTCCTTTTTCTTGCAAATTATCTCCTCAGTTGGGAGATAATTGAATAATAAAGCCTCTTATTTGGCCTTATCATAAAGCAGAGCACTAGGGTTCAGGAGCTCAGTCCCTGGGTAGGGACCGGGTGCCCGAAGCTAGCTCGCTCATGCCAAGGCCGCAGGGCTACCATCTAGCAAGCATGGTGATTATCAGCTCTATAGTGATTGCAAGCTCTCAGGATTTCAGCTCTGCTTGCTAGGTAGTGGTGCCCTGGGCTGGAGGCTGCAGCAGACGGAGAGAGAGGAGAAGGAGAAGGCGCAGGCTGTTCCACGGAGATGGCTTTATTTGGGGAGGTCCGTGAAGGGTCTCTGCTCTTCTTCTTTCTCCCCTAATGGGGTACAGTACGCTTCTTTTATAGGGTTGGAAAGGATCCAAGCTTGACCAATGGGTAAGGGGTTAACATGACATTGCCTTATAGGGTTACAGAGGTAGGTTAGGGGGTGGAGGACAGAAAAACAGGAATTTTCTTTTGCTGTTTCAGCATTCCTATTGTTCATATCCTCCATGGTGCTTTTCCTAAATCTATGGGGTTTACTACAATTGAAGCTGAAGATGAACCTCCGGTTGAAATTGCCTTCCCCAGTCAAGGAGTTAAAGTGAACATCTGTCTTCTGTTTGTCATGGTCAAGACCTTTTATCCAGCTGTAGAGGAAGCTCAGTTACCCTCTAACCTTATCAGCCAGCCTCAAAGGCAGAGCAGAAGGATGGAAGTAATGAACCCCATGGAGTAGCAGGGAAGGGTCAAACCAGAGAAACAAGTGGACAACATCCCTGAGGTTACAGTTGCACATACAGAGGACTGGAGGGGGCACCTCACACCAAGGCAAGGAGGAGTAGAGGTTCAGAGGAGGAAAGTGAGTGTGTGGGCCATGACAGGGAGCAGGGCAGCCAGGCTGCCACCAGACCTTTTCACAGAGATGTTGCTAGAAGGCTCTCCTGTTACTGGATTGACATAATCAAGGATCACATCATCCGTGTTCCAGATAATCACAGGGAGCTCATAACTGTGGAAATGACAGAGAGGTGAGACATATACCCTTGTCCCTGGTGCCTGAGAGGGTAGAATCAAGCCTGGAGCACAATGCCAGAGCAGCAGGACTCAAACCTTCCCAGCAGTGTGGTTCCTCATGCTCCTCCCGCCAAGCACAGCCCAGCAGTCTCACTGCCAGGCATAAAACCCTTTCTGGACACTACAACCCTACAAGACAAACACACACAGCCAATACAGGTAGCTTTGCAAACCAAATCCCTGTTGCATGGGAAATCCACCCTGCTCTACTAAGCCACAGGAGCACAGAAAGGCTTAGGCAGGAAGGGATCTCTGCAATCTCTGCAGTCTCTGCTCCAAGCTCTTGCTCTAGCTTCACAGTAGATTGATTGCTCAGAGCCTTGTCTGCATGAGTTTTAAATATCACCAAGCATGGACATTCCAGCAGATCTTGGTCAATCCGTCCCTGTTCCAGGATAACTTCACTCTCACTGAGAAAATGTTTTCTCTATACTCAGTTGGAAATTCCCTTGCTGTAATTAGTGTTCATTATCTCTTGTGCTTTTGTCTGAGAATAATCTAGACCTTCTATCTCAAAAGAAACATGAGATCCTCAAAAACAGCAGATTTCCTTCTTCAGCTGCACTTTTTCAAGCTCTCAAAGACATCTGTCCACTGGCCAGACTAACTACTCAAGGCCTGACCCGGACCCTAATCCCATCCCTTACAACTCCAATAACCCTCACCAAACGCCCATTTATCCCACCCCTAACCCTTCCCTTTTGCCACTGTGCCATCCCCTTAATTCCACCCCTTACCATGACACCAGGACTAGAACTCACAAGTTTTAGGTTAGCAGTCTGCGACCTAACCCACTACACCACCACAAACGTGCTGCTCAGCGTCAGAGGGTCCTTAGAGGCGCGGCAAGGATGGAGCAGCATTCGCCTGGCATCACCCGCGCGTGTCCCGCTCGCCCCGGGCGCCGCTAATCCCATCACCCGTCCCCCAAAATGAGGAAATGCCACGGGAAATTGCTGAAAGCGCGGGATCGGTGTCGGAATCAGGCAGCGGAAGCTATGGCCAAAGCTCTGTTTTCCAGAGCACCTCACCAAAGATGGCAACTTGGCCGGAAGTGGCTTCCGCCAGCACACAAGATGGAGCATAGGGGCAGAAATCATGCGGTACAGGACAAAAAAATGGCGGCTGTGGAAGAAGTCACATGATACAGGACAAAAGATGGGATATAAGGGCAGTAGTCATGTGATACAGGAGAAAAGTCATGTGATATAGGAAAAATATGGCGAGTATGGAAATGATCATGTGATGTACGACAAAAGATGGCTACTAAGGATGGAAGTCACGTGAAAAGGGACATGGATGGCGGGTAAGGACGGAAGTCACGTGATACCACACCAAAGATTATGTGCACAGCATCTTGCGCACGCGCTTTTGGGTAGGGGCGAGTGGTGCCGCGGCCGGTTCTCGCTTCTCAGACAGGCGTTTTTTCCGCTGCCTGAACACGACTCCAGTGCTGATGCTGATCCAGCGCTTTCAGTGGGATTTTCTGTGGACTTTCCCGATGTGGGGACACGGGTTGTGGTGTCAACGGCACGGGCAGAGTCAGGCAGCGGCAGGCACACCTGCGTCTCGGTCGCGCTGTGCCGCTTCTGACTCAAAGCCCCCAGCACATTCCCGCACTTCTCTGTTCCCGCCCGGCCCGGGGAAATAGAGGAAAACACAAAAGCATCGAGGAAGAACAGTCAACGGAGCTACCTGAGTCACCCCCCCTGCCCACAGGGCGGCAGCTGCCTGCATCCGGGAGCAGGCAGCGGGAGGATGCAGCTGCTCTTTACCAGAAGGTGAGAGGTGCGGGTACCAGAACGGTAGGCAGGGTTTCCCCGGCAGGGAGAGCAGGTGGGAATTGCCGCTTCCCACAACTCTCGGTGAGTACGGGGTGGAATCCAGACTCAGCCAGGTGGGAGGTGGGGTGCTGTTAACGTCCCCGGGAGCTGCTGAAATAACAACTTGCAGCAGCCTTTCGTGTGTGTGTGTGAAAACAGCTCTAATGCTGTAGCCGAATAGAATTAATATCAGATTTGTATAAATTGTGGTGTTTATTTCTGGGGCAGTCAGTTCCCTGAGTGTGAAAGTCCTTGACATAGTAAACCTGCGTAGTTTTTGAGTTCGAAGTGTTGTGTCCTTAAAATTCTTAGTAAAATATTTTATATTTAATGTTAAGTGGATTTGTTAGAGTAGCAGAAGTGTGGTGGGATAATCAACATTTCTTGTGTCAGAATTAATTTGTCTTCCTTATTTTCCCTTTTTTTCTTTCTAGATTGTAGATAAATGGGGAAAATATTTGGCATAAAGAAGTGAAATGCATGAGGAAAGCTCCATGTTCCCAAGGATTCCCTTGCTTTAGGGATGTGCAGCTACTGAACTGCACCAATAATTCCAGCTCCCACAGAAACCTTCCAAAGCTGGAAGAGACAGGGAAGAAAATTCCAAGAGTGGTGGGAAGTGCTTTTTCCCAGGTCTGGATAGCATTGAGGTTGGAATGACTTAAAAATATTCCTTGCCCCTCTCCTGTGCCAGCCCAGGACTAAGTTGGTGTTCTCTGAGTTCCCTGGATGTGGAGAAAGGTGGTCTGTGCTGGAGAGTGAGAGAAAGGTCCCTGCTGGTTGCTGTGTCCTCGGTGGGCAGAGAGCTCTGATCTTGGCAAGATGTGTTTGTGAGAATTGAATCAATCCTGCCTCCTTTTGAATGAGTTGTTTTAATGAGTTATCAGCAGGGACCACTTTTAGCCAGCTTTAGTTAAGTTTCTTTGTCACAGGTTTCTTTTTTTGATCCTGAAATCACCAAAACCTAAAGTTTGCTGAACTAACCCTGAAATGCTTCAATGAATCAATCCTGCAGAAACTGGAGATTGGATATCTGGGATCTTATGGCCGTTCAAAGCTGTGTGGATTTACCCCCTGATTTTGGTCCCAAGGGAAACTCCAAGGTGAGAATAATCAAAATGTGAACCAGTTCTTGTGAAACTCAGCTTTCCAAAGCTTTATTCAGGATTAAAAAAAGATGGGAACGCTCTTGGCAGAAAAGTACCTGTGAAGCAAAGCCAAAAATCTTATTATTATTATTCCTGCCCCACAATGTACTTGTCTGTGAACAAGTGCGCAAAGTTCACAATATGCTCAGTTAATTCGGGTGATGAGTACTAGCTGATGTACAAAGGAACATTCACTTAAAGGCCATGTTAGGGCCTTGAAAAAGTCCAGTGTGACAGGGTGTTGACTGCTTTTATACAAAAGTAGGTATATTTGTGGTACTGTTGAGGAGTATGGTGCTTAATGATTCAGAGTACTGTTGCTGTGCGTCCTCAGAGAAAGCATTCCACTCCCTCCTCTAAGTGTGTGTCAGCTGCAATTGCTGAAGGACTACTTAGTAGATCACAGAGGAACTCAGGGAAGTAAGCAGCTACCATCTACTTTAAAAATCTCACCAGGCACCTCTGTTTGCTGAAGTGCCTGAAATTTCACTTGCAAAATAAAGTAGTACAAAAGCGGGGAAATATTATTCTCTGTTTGTGATTCTGCTAACATACCACATTGCTGGGCTCTTTGGAAAGGGATGCTGTTTCTCAATCATCTGTAATTTACTAGTGCTTTTCCTTAAATTCTCTGTAGATACAGTAGATAGAGTAGTAGACTGTTTCTGTCAGTTGATGCAGCAAGAAACTGAGTGCATCAATTTTCTAGCATCAGTGCTCTTCAGCTGGCAGCTAGGGAAAATACTATCTTCTTTGGCACTTACCTTGTTATTGCTTCCAAAGTATTCTGAGACTTAGTGATTACAGGTCATAGGGTTAAAAATAAATTTACTTACTTTTTTGAGTTAATCTGAACTTCCAAATTCAAAGTAGTTGTAAACATTTGTGGCTTTTCCCAAATGAACAGATTTCACCTGAGGGTAACTTACAAACTGTTTTGCTTACACTGTAGCCCTACACATATGATTAATCCCTGATTACAGGATATTATGTCTACTCAGTGTTTTGCTGAATGATGAATTTTAAACAATAAGTATCATTCATCTTTTTATTAGTGGAATTTTCAAGAGTCAGAGCAACTTACAAAAATTTCTCACAGATTTAGAAATTATATAACCAAATTATTGTAGCCTGTTGTCCTAGGTTAACATTATGATGCTTGTATCCCCATTCAAGAGTTCTGTTTATGTTGGATATTGTGTTCTGTGCCTTCAAGACTGGCTCTTAAGATTGAATGTTTTGTTTTGGTTTTGCTATCAGCTGCTCCCCCACGGCTGATGGGACACACAGACAGGGCAGTACACAGTGCTGCTTTTGCTTTTTGCTTTGCTTTTGCTCTTGCTTCTGCTTTGCTCCTGCTTTGCTCTTGCTTTTGCTTCTGCTCATTAGTTAGTTTAGCTAAGCAGTCCGAATTTTTCCTGGGCTGTTTTTTCCTTTTCCTTTTTTGGACCTACTCAAACCTGCTCCGGACTGGGACCTGGGAAACACCGAGAGTTTGCACCTTGTGGCCTGCAGCAGCTGCCCCAGCACCGGAGGGACTGATAACAGAGAGACCACCCCCAAGAGAGACTTTCTGAAATTGTAATCTTTTTCAGAGTGGTGAAAGAGTGTTGTCATCTGGTATTGTTCCTTTTGTGTGCTGGGGGTGCTGTGCCTGTTAAATAAACAGGTTCTTTCCACTTCTCTTGAAGGAATCCTTCCTGACACGGTTGGGGAGAGGTGCCGTGTGGGTTTGCTTTCTGGAGGGGCCTCCTTTTGGAGGTTTTCTCCCAAATTTGCCCTAAACCAGGACACCTGTATTGAATTTTATTGCTCTGTATCATAAAAGTCTCAGGATTCTTCCTCCCAGGGCAACTATGACACACTTCTTCAAATGTTTGTCTAAAAGCCATTTACAGTTTTTCATCTATAAGAGGTTTTCTCTTTAGTCATTATTAGAATCAGGCCATTCACAGCCATGCTTGGGTCTGTGTACAGCCTTGCATCTGTCATAAATGTAATTGGAAGTGTAGGTATAAAACTATTCACAAAATCATACAGATATTGATACACACTGCAGTTTTAAAATCAAGAAAATATTTAATGCATTGAACAAGAATGATTCAAAACTGTAGATGAGCTTCAATCACTTTAATTGTGATTTAATTGGAAAAGGGCTTTACCATCTGTCCAAAAGCTTCAGCAACCATTATGTGTGTAAAACAAACAAAAAAGACTGATGAAGGTAAAAGGAGTTTGTGAGGAAGCCTGACCTGTGCTTCCCTATCCTGCTTGACTTTGTGTATGTAAGTCTTTGTGCAGTCTTTGTGCTGTCATCAGAATTTAAGTTTCCAAACTAGAACAAGTTGTTATAGCTCATTATGATGTACAAGTATATAATATTTTTCCTGCTCTCTGAGAATTTCAATGTCTGCTGCATAAATCAACTTGCCTGTACTTCAAGAATTGACAGGGTGTAAAAAGTAGAATAGGATTACTGATTTAGTTAAGAATCAGTCATCCTCCAGCCACTGGCTGCTGGCTGGAGGTGCTTTGCCTCAAATTGCCTGCACCAAGCTAAAGACAGTTTGTCACAAAACTGTTAGGTGCCAGATCATTAAACCTTATTATACTGAGGCAAATAGATTTTGGGATGAAAAAAATAAGTATGAGGTATGTATATGTTATTAGAGCCATTTAATAAAAAGATTAAAAAATGAAGAGAGTATTTTCAATAAATTCTGTCTGATGTAATTACTGCAACATAAAGAAACAAAGTACTTTGTCTTAAGGTATATACAAAGTTCAGACAAATGAATGCCTCAGTGAATTAACTGAAGGTTGAATGAAAACCTAGTATGTAAGGAATTGGGGGGATGAAAGAAATATAGTTCTCATTTTCTGTGAAATTGAAATGCTGAGGAAATTTCATTTTTTAAACTTCATGACTTAGTGCCTCTAGAAGGAGCTATGCTATCCTTACTGTCATAGAAGTTCTTCAAATTGATGTTCTCATCAGTGAGAACATGAGTGGGTTTTTTCTGACCTATCCTACCAAGCCACTGAAGCACAGCTTATGTATTAGCCATTGCATTCCTCTTTAAGGTCAGCTCAAGTTCATACATGCTCTCACACTATTATAAAAATGAATATGTACATGATTCCATGTCACTGGATCTAGGAGGCATAAGAGCAGTCATTGGTTCAATAAAAATGCTCACCCTTTTACAAGTTCTTGCCACCAAAATGAAGGGAAACATGGTTTAATATTTTTTATTTTTCTTCTTGCTCGGGTCCTTTGTAATGACTTCTGTGAAGGCTAATTTCTCCATGGAGAAATACTCTAATACTCTGACTTATGAGAAGTAAGTCTCTTGATTTTGGACTAGACCAGTTTTTCTGGACTGTGGATGTCTTTCTGGGGAAGCTGCCCACAGCTCCCACTAACCTTTGTGCAAGGACAAGATCATTACCAACCTTTCCCCACTTCCACTTTACAAGCTGACTACAATCTCTGTGTTCAGTATATGCCACTTGCTCTCTGAGCAGCTTTGCATTTGCCAAGTAGTATCTCTGTCCTCAGTTAGGCAAACTGTTATTGACAGAACAAAGGAAGAGTGTGTCTAACCCCTCTCTGTCCTGCTAATACAGAGCTAAGATGGTAGTTAAGCATGGCCTCATTAAAATGTTGACATCACCTCACTGCTGTAAACACAGCAGTAAGCATGCATTTCATATGTTAAACCATCAAGTTTCCATGAATTTGCTTCCCTGTGAAATACTTCTTTAGAGCCTATGTGTCTCTGCTTCTTCTGCTGCTTTTAATCTCACTGACACATGTGTGATAAGAACAAACATAATGAAAATTATGATATGTCACTAGAATGTTTCCTGGACTCATGGCCAAGAAACTGCCAAACAGTGAGCAATGGCTAGATTTATTGTGGTTTGTTTTTTTTTACATAAGCTCCACATAATTTTCAGGAATGTGCTGTAGCAGCCTTTGACTTTAGATGTTGCATATATTCAAATCTATTCAAGAATTTGAAAAATATTCAGCCTCATTCTAGTTTGAATTATGAGATTACCAGTATATTTAAGCAAGAATGACAAGCTACCTCAAGGGAAGTCCAGGGCTGTAACATCATGAATGCTGGAATTTCAGCCACTCTGCAGGAAGCTTGTACAGCAAGTACCATGCTTGGTGTGGTAAGAAGGATCTAGGCACTGGCCTCAGCCTCCTGTGGCTGGGAAAAGCTGTCTGCACAAACTCCAGGGAAGACAATATAGTTTGGCAGAGACGAGCCATGTGCTTGGAATGACCTTCAAGGTGTCAAGGGCTGCTCCTAAAAAAAAGGCAAAAAGGCAGAATTGTAACTCAGTTTATGTCCACTCAGCTTATGGATGCCTGTACTTCAGGCAAAAGGTTTTGTACCTGTCATGGTTTAAGCCCCAGATAACAGTCAAGCACTATGTAGCCACTCACTCACTCCCCCACAAACAAGATCAGGGAAGGAATCAAATTGGAAAGGTAAAAGTCGGAAAACTTGTGGGTTGAGATAATGACAATTTATTAGAGAAAGCAAAAGCAAAGAAAAACAAGGAATTCATTTTTTCCCATGGACAGACAGGTGTTCAGCCATCTCTCGGAGAGCAAACCCCATCACTCCAAATGTCTGCCTGGTTTCCTCCTTCTTGCTTCTTCCTTCTCTACTCTATATACTAAGTATGATGCCATATGGCCTAGAATATCCCTTTGGTCAGTTGGAGTCACTTGTCCTGGCTGTGTCTCCTCCCAGCTTCCAATGCACCCCCAGCTTCCTTGCCAGTGAGGCAGTATGAAAAGAAGAAAAGGCCTTGGCTTTGTGTAAGCCCTGCTCAGCAATAACAAAAACATCTTTTTTACCATTGCTATGTTCATCAAAATCCAAAACACAGCCCCATACCAGCCACTGTGAAGGAAACTAACTTTCCTC